GCCTTCGTTCATCTCTTTGGCCCTCCAGGCCAGCATCGTGGAGCCGAGATGCTTATACATACATACATACATACATACATACATACATACATACATACATACATACATACATACATACATACATATGTGTGTGTATGTGTTGATTCAGGGTTACCATACAAGGCTCGGGGTGATCCCCTTGTGTTCGGTCTTCGAGCAGCTGCACCCTCCAAAGTGCTGGTGGGGTGTCCCCGGCCCGAAGAAAGCACTCTAACGAAAGTTCTTTGTTTTCACGCCGACTGCGCGCATATGGATCCTCGCCTGGCTTGTCCGAGTTGCGAGAGTGTAAACCCCTATGTTTGGACGAATTTTCTTGCAGGCGGCTGGGAAAACAGCCTTTTAAACCTAAAGCCCATAAAAACCCCGACCCTGGTAACCCGTGCATACTCCGGCAAGAGCACGCCGACAGCGCCAGGACCTTCCCCGGCCCCACAGCCAAGGCTCTGGGACTGGCGTTTAGTAAGGGGTCTGAAGTCGAATATAGAAGCCTAAATATTAGCAAATGTTATTGCTGATTAGGGTTCCTTATCACAAGTATACTATACTGGGGCCCAATACCCTAGTCCAAGTGTGAAGGCCCCATACATTATCTAGGGCTGAGGTTGCCGTAGACCCTGACACCCTCCAGGTCCGGTCTAGAACGTGATGAGCTTTGCGATTGAAACTTTCAGCCTGTTCGTTCTATTTTGGGGTTTCAAGGTTTGGGGATATGGGAGCTTTTAGGGCTTCACGGGGACAGTTCCCCCTACCGCCGAAAATCGCAGGTAGTTGGACTGTGGTTCAGGCGTAAGGGTTTATAATTCTGTGTCTATGGCAGGCGATCTTCGGCGACCTCGCATCGCCGTCTTGTTTGTCAGGGCCAAGCTTAGGGTGTTGGGGCCTTGGCTTTGCAGCTTGAGGGCTTTGCGATTTGAGGCTGGTGGAGTTTTAGGTTTGTCTGGCTCTTACTTGCTTCCATTTTGGAAGCAGGTAAAGATTTCATTCTCTGAGGTCTGTACAGCTCAGGTTTTCCATCGGTTAGGGCCTTTATATCATGCAGGGTCTCTCCCACTTACAGTCCTTCAAACTCAGATGCGATATCTACGTAGGGTCTTTATCGACTGAGGTCTGTACAAGAGTCAATGTCTCGAGTTGTCGTGGCTTCTTCTGTGTTTAGGCCCTCTCCTTACCAGGTGTTTATCATAATGCGATGGTTTTGTCGTATTGAAACGTCACAGTCGCTGCAAGGAGGCCTCTGTACTCAGGATTCTTGTAATCCGGCGTCGGTATCTCTTATGGATTTTTTCTCTGTGCAGCTCTATGACTTAAGCGGCTGTCGGATTGTTTTCCACAGCGTTTATAGGTTGAGGGTTTAGGGTTCAGGGCCTACTGGACCCTGGACCCTAAACCCTGAACCGCCAACTGGCCAACGTGCTATCGTCGTCGTAGTTGGGACCTCGCCAGGCTTGTCCCAGTTGTAAGTGCTGAAAACCCTGAACCGCAAGGCTTTAGGGCCTTTAGGGTCCCAGGGCTTAGGGCCAGGTTTTCAGGATCAGGACAGATCAGATCTCTCCCAGGGGGAAAAATGGCTCGAAGCAACGGATTTTCTTCAGAAAACAGAGAACCCTCGCTAAGACAGATCTTCTCTACAGACCTCACAACTTAAAGAGCCGTAAACCGCCAGGGGCCTCAGAATAAGAGCAAGCGCATTCCAGGATTCTCCAAGAGAGCTACAGTCCAAAGCCACCCAAAACCGTAAAATCTCAATTTTCAGTCCCCCCCATCTATAGTTTCCAAGATCTATAGTTTCAATCATCTATAGTTTCAAAACCCGGAAAAACATCCACATGGCCACTGTGAGCCAGGCCACGGAGGGAACTCTGCTTGGCCCTTGTCAGTGTGGGGGAGGGGGGGGTCTTTCAAGGTTGGGTTCTCTGATTCGTTTATGGGGTTCTGTAGGGCTCTTGTTTAATATTGGGTTTAGGGTTTTCTCTGGTTCGTTTATGGGGTTCTGTAGGGTTCTGATGCCAGCATAACCTGAAGATTGTAGGGTCCCTCAGGTCTCCATGTGCATGCGGTATTGGGAACAAAGGACCTACACAAAATGGCTACGAAAGTCTGAAGTGCGTGAAGGGAGCCGTAGATAGGGCCATGAGAAGTACGGAGATCTCGATGCGCTTCAGGGAGACGTCCTTCGACGCATTAGCAAGTCAGACGCAATCTGGCAGCATATTATTCCTGAACTGAAGGGTGCTTCGGGCCTGTGTGCGAATTCTAAGCGCCAAAATTTGTGAAAGCTTTTTAGGCTCCAAACCCACCAACGTCTAGAAAACCCTTCCCCCCTCCCCACCTCCAGCCGAAAAGAATCCTTCAAGAGCGGCTGAGGTCTCCAAAGATTTCTCCGGTCGGAGACGGCCGAAGCCGAGGATTTGTGCATTTCGGGGGCGTCTCAGGGTTTTTCAAGCAGGGTTTTTGACAGGTGTTCTCAGAATGCCACGACGTACTGAAAAAGAATTCCGAAACTCCCTCACCTTGAATGCGCGGACGTAGGGAGCGGGATGGAGATAAGCCACGCGCTGGGCGCCCCAACTACTGCCAAGAAGTGCGACTACAACATTACAGTCGCTATTTACAGTCGCCATTCGAAGTTGCATGCAAACCTTGCCTCGGATGTTGAGCCCAGCGATAAGCATTTGTCAATCCAGAACCCCACAAAACCCAAAGCCCTAAAAGCTTTCAAGCCGCAAGCTTCCACCCTTTAGCCCTAAATGGGGGTTTCCGAAAATAGGGGACCCTGATATAGTACCCTAAATAGTAGGATCCTTATTATAGGGACCCCAAAATAGGGTCCCCTTATTTTCCGAAACTCCCAAATCCTGAACCTGACCAGACGGCCCGGGGAGCCTCCCCGAGAAGAGTCAAGGGCCCTTGCCGTAGTGCATCCTTCAAGCAAGAAAGAGGTCTGAGCAATATTTTATCCTAGGGAAATTACTATTTTATGGCAGGGATAACTATTATTAGCAAGAGCACCCTCTTCTGGATCCTTTAAAGAGTTTAACACTTCAATACTAGTTCCGACATGTACCAAAACCCTATTCTAATAGCTAAACTACAGGGCCTTCGTATTGTGTGTCCAGACAGAGAGTGGGCTTGGGGTTCTGATCTTTCGCGCGTGGTGGGAACAAGAGGTCACCGGGATCCAGAACATGCTGGGACCTCTGTCCGTCTTTCTCATGCTTGGAGTGCATGCGGGGCTTTCTGGTATACGAAACCCAACATCATGATCGTAACTTTCTTTTCATAAACATAGGGAGGAGGCTGGCCGACCTTTGTTTCGTGAATTTGAGACTACATGCTGCGATGTGCCCACAGGTAGCCTGTAGTCAACTTCAATAACTGAGCTCGTCAATCCCGGTTCACGTGTCGAAGAAAACACCTTAATTGAACTATCCCCCAGGTCTAAACCCTCGCCTAAAACCCGAAACCCGCAGGCAGGACTTTCGAGACTGTCGGCCACAGACCGACAACGCGTGGCTCCGCTCCTACACATCCTTCCGAGCTGTGGGCGTTCATCGCTAGCTCCGGTATTTCCAGAGGCAAAGCTCCCCGCTCCGGGTTGGTGTTGGTGGGAGAAACAGTTTTGGGGCATGGTTCAGGGCCTAGGCCTTTACCTCTTCCCGAGTTCCAGCCCGTCCTGAAGCATTGTTTTGGGCGCAGATGCGAGCAATCGAAGACGATCAAAGACGAAGCTTAGGCGAGCTCACTGCGCTAATCAGTTCGCAAGAGTATATCCCGTCTTCCCGAGCTCTGACATCGAATTAGACACACCTGCTAGATCCGAGTGCAATAGGGGCATGACATGAAATGGAAGGTATTCCACTCTGCTCATGCGACCATAATGTTCTTGCCGTTATAAGTGTAAACATGTAGGCATGTTTGCATAGATGCATATTTTTTAACATGCATCCATGCGTACATGCACCCATCCATAGGTGCAGACATACAGACAACTCAACAGCAGTTGTGGCCTTTTCCTCATTGTCAATGTTCAAAGACGGGCGGACGTGCCATGTGTGCGGTTATGTATGCCTTCCTAAATGTATGCATGCTTGCATACAAAAACGTGCATCTACGCAATGGTACGTATGTATGTATGCATGTGTATGTATGCAACCATATATTTATGTATGGGTGTATGTTGGTAGGTATGTGTGTGCGTAGGTATGCGCGTATGTACGTATGTATGTATGTATGTATGTATGTATGTATGTACGTATGTATGCATGTATGTATGTATGTATGTATGTATGTATGTATGTATGTAACGTGTGTTATGTATGCATGTTCTGTATGTGTTGTATTTTCTGTTATGTTTTGTATGTATGTTTGTATGTATGTAGGTATGTATGTATTTATGCATGTATGTATGGATGAATGTCTTGCATGTTTCGTATGTTATGTTATGTATGCTGTATGCATGTATGTATGTATGTATGTATGTATGTATGTATGTATGTGTGCATGCATGTATGTCTGTCTGTCTGTCTGTCTGTCTGTCTGTCTGTCTGTCTGTCTGTCTGTCTGTCTGTCTGTCTGTCTGTCTGTCTGTCTGTCTGTCGGCGTTTGTCTGTCTGTCTGCCTGTAGGTATGTATGTATGTATGTATGTATGTATGTATGTATGTATATGTGTGTATGTATGCATGTATGTGTGTATGTGTGCGTATGTATGTATGTCTTTCAATTAAGCTGCGAACTCTTCTGGCAGCGGGGAAATTGAACTGCGACCAATGTATGTGTCTATGATTGTCTATGGGTGTATGTCTATCTGTGTGTGTGTATGCGAAGGTATGTATGCCTGTACGTAACGTATGCTATGCACATCATTTTCCGTTCCGTTCTCTTCTGTTTTGTCGTGTTGTGTCGTGTCGTGTTGTGTTGCGCCAGTCATGTTTGCATATGCGTGTGTACATGTGCACATAGGTGTATCTATATGTAAACGTGTACGTACATGTATATGTGCTTTTGCGTGTACAGGAAAGGATAGATGTACATATCCATACATGTAGTTCGGTAGGTATACATGGGTTTTTTGGCGGGAGAATACTGCACACATGTTGTTTGAAAGTCGATCGTTCCTTTCTTGTGTGGAGGATCTGACATTTGTCTGCAGGTTTGCCCATATAGCACCCTCTCTTGTTAAATGTGAAGATGAACTACTTCGATATATTATGAACAAGCATGCGTCACCCTCTGGTTGCGGCCAATACCACCACTCCTACCTAATCCCTCCTCTGCTGCTTTTGTGGTGATGGGCTTCTTGGGACTTTGACCTCGGTAGTCATTTGACGATGCATCCTAATTCACAGCAGATCGGGCAGCTGGCCTAGCTGACAGCGCCTTCTGAATCCCGCATCCTCGACCTCAACCCTTCTCTTGATCCCCAAACCCTCAACCCGTAGCCTCATCTCTGCCAACACCCCCGCGCTTGAAGCTGGCCTCCCTGATTGGCAGATGGGTAGTGTTCAGAATCAGCTGAGGTCCTTGTTGACACGGGGTGTGGTGGCCCTAAGCGACATATAGATGATGTCGGCCACCTCCTGACGACTACGGTTGATCGGTTCTCCCTGCAATGCACCCTACCCACCTGCATGTTTTGGAAGGTCCGGCTTGACGTCTCAGCCAGTCTGAGCACTATGGGCCCTGTGCTCGTGTTGAAAACTATTGATAACTACTAATGAAAAGCCAAGACGATTGCAGGATATCGCAGTGGTTGGGTGTGGTGGTGTAAATCCCGTGAACCTAAGGGACCAGGCCCATTCACCCAAAGGGTGTCTGGCTGAGATGTCGGAGTTTGTCAAGCTGGAAGAACCATTTCTGCACTGTTGAGCTGTTTAGGGTGCGATAAATCTCGACATTTTCTACAATCTTGGATATTATCGTGGAGCATGAGTGCTGGGTTTAGTGGGGTGTAGGAGGCTCTGTGCTTAATGCTTGCTCGATGGATTGCAGCACAGCCCTGCTTGTCGCCGGGTGGTGGCTTGGTGGTGTTTGAATCTACTGGTGGTCTCTCCTGCACTTTTTTTTGGTCTCGTGGTCTGCTGGTCGTCGTGGTGGCCCTTGGTCCAACCAGCATCCTACTCCGGTTTCCCGCTCGTGGACAGTGCTGGCGTGGGTGCTGGTGTGCGCGAGGTGCTCATGATGCAAATGCTGGATGCTACTTCGTCGTTTGCGGATCTACGCGGGCATACAATAGCCAATGAGTTTCATCGTTGAACCTTGACAAACTCGCCATGTAATGCCGGTGCCTTTGTTAAGTTTCACCCAGCGGCTAAGCCGTAGCAGCGGGCGTATCTTGCCATTAATTATGCGTTTTGCCAAAATACTTCCGCTTCCGGTCGTCCTGTGGGGGCAGTGCAATCACTATCAAGCCACAACTGATTGTGTTTAGTTAAGCACAGTGAAACCAGAAATGCCAAGAACTGAAACTTCGGGAAATGACACCTTAAACCCTACCATCTGTTGAGGGCATTTTGGACTTCACCACACGGACCCCAGATAGGATGCGCTTGCTTTGAAACAAGCCACACCTCCCTACAGAAGCTTGCAGAACCCCGTGCGCGACCATTTGGCTCCTAGAAACCCAGCCGGAGGGAAGCCGCCCACGCGTCATCCTCGGGGAGCCTGGGGGGGTGGGGCAAAGCGGCCGTTGAGGCAAGAGAAATTGAGGCGGTTGCTTACATTTCCTAGGTTGCAAGGGTCTGTTAAGCGTTTTGGGAGGGTTCGAAAAGATTTGGGCACTGTTTTTTGCCCGGTCCTCATGTTAAGCATATGGCTTATTTTGGGATGATTGGTTCCCGTGTACATATGTTGTTCACAGGGTTTCAAGGGCCAACCTAATTAGTGCTATGAATAGTTTTATACGTGTTAGTCTTATCCGTATGCTTATTATTATGATTACTTACTATGATTACATATTCCTATAATTCTTATAATATCATATGTATACTGATTCCTGTCATTATCATATTAGTTCCGTTTCCGGATCTGAAGCCTGACCTGGGCCGTCGTTGGTTCCGTCCTGGTTAATACAGAAGCCTAAGTAATCACCAACATTATTCCGTAGGTTCCTTCTTATAACGTAGAATTATGAAGTATAGGTGCATCAATATACAGAACTCCCCTCTAATTCTTAGGGCTCCTGATGAGAAGTCGACTATAAAGGAGCCCAAAACCGTAGTCTAACCATTGCGGCCCCTACAATAGCTTCTTCCACTCTTTTTACTGAGCCGTGCAAGAAGGCGACGATGTTGATCCAACTCCTTGAAAACGAACGAGGAACGCCACGTAGAACTTATGAAAGGAAAGCAGCTCATCTGGTGACCATGGGCCCATTGTCAGCATCCTCTTTTGTTTCAATGAGGATATTAAAGCTTCAAATCTGAACCCCAAAACCCTGGACCACCCTAAAGCCAACACCATTCGAAAATCCAGCGTTTTTCGACCCAAGTCTCGAAAAGACCTTTTGCAGGCCGCTCTCCGGGGGGGTTTGTGCCCATGGCGGATCAGGACCACAACTGGATGTATTCTCATCATGTTTGGCTGAAGTTTCAGATTTGGCACCTCGGCTTCTTGATTCTCTGGGGTGCAAGTCCCATGATGATGCTTGTGCATATTATACCTCTTCTGATTTGGGTTTAGGGCAGTTTAGGTTTTGGGATATTCTGGGGCCTGGGGCTATAGAGTTTACCTGCACCTCACACAACTACCAAAACGCTAAACCCCAAGCGCCCAAAGCCTTGCTAGAAACCACAGCCTCGAGGACGCGGAGTTGGAAAGGCAAGCGCAGGGCATGGCCGAGAAGGCCCGTTGCATCCTTCCTTGAGAGTCCTTTCAGGTTTGGAGTTTAGGGTTGAGGGTTGAAGTATTCAGGATTGGGGGCTGGGCCGGGGATGTTTCATCTCTGTTACGGCGGTCGGCGTGTTTCGCCCGACACTTTGCACTGCCTCATCTCTAGGTTGTCGACCAGCGAATGGATAAACATAGATATTATGTGTGTCTGCATAAGTATATGGCTCTTCGTGCAATCTGTCGGTGGTTTTAACCAGCTTTATGGAGAAGGCCTTCTCAGAGATTTCGGACCCTGTTCTACGGAAACAAGGATCCCAGACTTTGTGTGCTCTGTTGCTACACATAGGGAACCTCATCTCGCAGGTTATCCTGACATGCTGTTATGATGCAAAGCTACTAGGCTCTTCTTTGTCTCTGCTTCCTCCTGTCCTTACTGCCGAGTTCCTGAAGGTTCCGCACAGCCATGAAGCCCAGATCCTCAACCGCATGGCCTTTCCATTGATCTTCTCAATACAACATCAGAAATCTACAAAAACGAGGTCGAGATTCCGATGGCGAGCCCGCGCCGTCAAAGCTCAAACGCTAAGATCCTATACTGTACCGGCAGAGAACCCTCCTAAACCCCTGACAGAACCCTTAACAGAGCAGCCCTCAGAACCCCGAATAAGAATGAGGACCCAAAATCCTTCAAAAGAGCCCTTCATAGAACCCCGATAAGACTGACAGCCCA